ACAATGTGTGGAGACTTATTTGGCAATTATTTTTCTCTTAATCTTGGAGTATTTAGGTGAGTGGATTCAGGTTTTCAAGTCATCATTCACAACAAGGCAAGCTTCAATAATGCAGAGGGGTTCCAGCCTAATTTCTGAAGAAGTTTCAGCTAGTCTGACCCAATGTAAAAAAATATGAGGAGATTTTCAAACCATGATATATTAAAATCTGTTAAACTAACAAACCTTCCTAAATGACACATTGCTTTGAAAACTGGATTTGTACTTAATCCATGTTTGAGTCTTCAGGTGTTTCGCTTTTCATCTTAATCAGTAGCTTGGCTGTGCAGCTATGATCAGGTCACTCCTACTTTCCTCCTCCCTTTGTCTTACCATCCTTGGTAAAACTCCAGCTTATCAGCAGCTATTGTTGAGCTGTCTCATAACCTTGGCAGCTGCACTGGCTGTGGGGCCGTGCCATGGGCATGACTTCTGTCAGGAGTGGATGTTTGGCATTCTTTGGGCAGCAGCTCCTGTGGGATGCCTGCAAACAGACTGACTCATGGCCAGTTCAGCCCGTGGAGCCCATCCCGCTGCTGTGATTATGGTGCAGGAAATAAACAAGATGACAGCCTAATCTATCACATCTTTGGGCTGAGAACTGGGGCACCAGAGTAAGAAAGTTCATTTCTGGCACTGTTCCTATTCGTTGCTCTGTTGCCCCATCCCTTTCCCAGAAGGGAACAGAGAATTCAACTGGCAAAAATCCAGATGAGGTTTGTGAAATCAGCTGGGGCAGGAGTTTGGGAACTGGAGTGTTTGAATATTCCTCTTCTGTGAAAATTGCCGAGGTGCAAAGTGCTCTGAGGAGCTGGTGCTGTGCAGTGTGGAGTCTGGAGAATCCCTGTGAGTGCTGGGCTGGCACAAGCACTGGTCACTCACTGCCTGTCCCTCGTCCCACCTCCCTCTGCTCCATCACCCCTCAGTGATGTGTGACACTCTGGTGCAGGGACAATGGTCCCTGGCCTTGGAGGAAGTGAACAAGCAGCTTGTGGATCATTACTCTGCTGCCTGGCACTTCTTTGTGCCTTTAGTGTCCAGCAAGAGAGATTTCTTTTAGGGCAAACACCCTGTAGAGGTCAGGCACGTGTTTGAGCAGGGAGTTAAACAAGGCCATCCTCTGAAACCYGCTGAGACTTCTAATTTTAACAGTCTTAAAAGCCCAGAAGGCAGAAGCATATTCAATTTACATTAATAAGTCCTGGTTATTCATCAGAATAAGTGTTTTTCAGTGTTAAGAATAGCTRCTGCCTTAGTGCTTCCTCCTATTGTTACAGCTCTTCCTTGAGCAGTGGAAATGTTTTGGGTGATTGAAATTACATTTACAGTAGTAATTAGGTTTAAGCAACTTTGCAGTTGACTTATCTAAATATATGATATTTTTTTTCCCCTGCTCCCCCTTCTTCTTCATTCTCCCAAGCCATAACAATATCAAACAGGGTGAGCAACTGATGATATTGATATTTAGKGATGTTGATACACTGATACCCCAGCTGCCTGGGCATTCCTGTATCTCTCCCAGCAGGATGACAAATTGGCTCTGGTCCCACACAGTGCAGTCATGAGTGGAGGCACTTTGTAGGGCCTGAGTGTTGATTTTTGGCAGCTCTTTTTGCTGAGAGGTGCTGGTTTTCTCTCCCAGCTCAGGGCAGAGCAGGACCAGATGTGTTGCAGGCCCAGCTGCTGCYTTACCCAGACCCAAGTGCAGCTCACACGGTGCCCCAGGCCACAGCCTGGCTGCTGCTCCCTGCCAGACTGGGAACAAGCTGGGGCTTGGGTAATCTCACCAATTTAGTGACTCCAGAAACTGGAGTAATCTCTTAATCTCAATGGGTTCATGTGATGGACAGGTAACACTGTTTGAAGATTTTCTCATGTGGTGGGATTGAAGGATGATAAATKATTTTCAGGCTTTTCTAATACTACATATCCTAAAAATAAACTTGCTGGGGAAGAAAAGAATTGCACATTATGGGTTTGGGTTACATCCAGGTTTTTCCACTCCACATTGTAATGTGTCACTTGCACTCCYTTTTCAGGGTAACAGATTCCTTTGGGGAAGCTTGAAAACTGTAATTCTGCTATAAAATCTTGCAGTGCATCCCATGGATGTTTTGTTCATGATACTGAAGGCTCTGATGTCCAGTTCTGTCAGGCACCACGCACAGGCAGCTCTCCCAGACCACAGAGAGCTCCTGCAGTCTTTACCTCTCTAGCCTGCTGAAACTCCTGACTGTCCAAAAGGAGGAGGGATGTTATTCCACCTCTTTTTGATCCTGAAARAGTCAAGCCAAGTCATGTCAGTTTGGCAGGATGTGTGGATACCTTCAGAAATAACTTGTGCAYTGAAGTGGTGACGGTAACAGCACTGGGTCTGTTCCCGTGATTCATTTGAGCTAATTGGCTGCTGAGAGCATCATATGTCTCTTTGTCTCCATCTTTGAGTAAGATTCAGCTCCTGTGATCCRGATAATCTCATCCTAGTGAGCTTGTCTCATCTCTGATGATGCCAGGAATACTGTCCTGGAGCGTGAAACATGCTGGAGAGCTCGAAACCAGAGCTGGAACATTTACCCTGATTCGCTCTGTCTGAAAAAGCAGACTCTGTTCCTTCACCTCCTTTCTCACAAGCACAATCTAGGAGATAAACTTGCTGATTGCTCCTCTCAAATACCATGAATAACTGAAGGCCAGACAGGAGTGAGGACGTGAGCGGCTGTAGCGCAGCTGTTATTATCCACRGAGATCAGAAACTTTCAGCAGCACTTGTGTACTCCTCGTGTGAGTAATCAAAGCTGAGTGTACTCTTAAAGAATTCTCTCTTCATCTGGATGCTTTAAATTTGCCTCAGTTGTGCAACAAGCCYGGCTGAGTTATTAGCACTGCATGAGAAACTGTGAGGATGAAACTGCCTGGTGCCAGTGTCTGGGAGCCTCTGYAAATTGACCCATTAAAAAGGATGAGCAGCTGGCTGCTGAAGTTATTAAAAGAAAATTTAATGACAAGGAGCGCCACTGAGGGACAAAAGAAATATAGTTRTGGGCTGTGGTGTCCATCTGTTTGCAGTGCTGGCAGTTTAGAGGTGATTTTGTGTCCAGGAGAAGGGATGGCCTGAAACCCGAGCCCTTCTTTCAGGGCAAGGTGTGCTCAGGGGGATTGGTTGGAAAGGCTGGGGAGAAAAAAACACTTCTCAAAGCTTGTAAAAACAGAAAGCAAAGAGCAGCCACATCTTCTCTCACAGGTGTTTTTGTTGTCATCCCTCCCCTGTCTCACATCCTGAGCAGTGTGTGTGGTCACACRTGACGGTGACGCTTCTGCAGCAACTGTTCTGTGTCTCTGCAGAAAAGCATGAGAAATCAATTTGCTTTCTGTGTGCTCCTGTGGTCTTCATTAGTGGATGAACTTTTATGATTGGATGCAAGGAAGAAATTGTTCCCTGTGAGGGTGGGGAGGCCCTGGCACAGAGTGCCCAGAGAAGCTGTGGCTGCCCCTGGATCCCTGGCAGTGCCCAAGGCCAGGCTGGACGGGGCTGGGAGCAACATGGGATAGGGGAAAATGCCCCTGCTCATGGCAGGGAGTGGGACTGGAAGGGCTTTAAGGTCCCTTCCAACCCAAACCATTCTGTAGTAACACACTCCCTGTGTCTAATTCTGAGCTGTTGTAAATCCTGTGGTCTGTGGGGTTTGGTTATAACTGAACTTCACAACCTGATCTTGGTTTGGARCAGATGGAGGAGGAGCTGTGTGGGTAAACCTGAGTTCTGAATTATGGGTGGAGGAATAAGTTTTACAGGAATTGTGGGTAGGGAGGAAGAGRGAGGAAATTCCCATTAATATTTTTGCACATTTAGTGTGGGAGGTGTGAAGTGTCCCAGACCAAAGCCCTTCCCTGTGCCAGCCCCAGGGTCTGGTGTTGGGCACTGGGGCAGCATTCCTTCAGCAGGAGGGTGGGGTGGAAGCAGCTGGGCTAAAGCAGTGGAAAAAGAGCTGTGTTAGCAGGAACAAAACCAAGATGGGCTATTTTATGATGAGGGATTGTCTCTAAAATAGCTGCTGCTGCCCTTTTAGCTGTTGGAAGCAAAGCAGGCTGAGCTGTAGATCCAGCCCTACTGTGAATTTGGGAAACACAGGGTGGGATTATTACTGGTGCTGGATGAGCTTTGTGTTCACTCAAAAACTTAAAGAAGTTACTCATCCTTTAACTTCGGGATTATGAATAATAAACGTTTGAATAAAGAAGAAACACTGGAGARAATAACAAGGAAAGAACAAAACCTGCCAGGAATGGCTACAGGGAATCCGATTGCTTTAACCCTTTGCTAACTTGTGCCTTGCTTGTTGATGAGATTTTTGAGAATAATGTGGACCTTGCAAAATATTCTCAGTGGGTGTTAGTGTTTTACACCCAGCTGGGCCTTACTCACTGCTCAACTCTGGCAAGAAATGCTGAATTGCTTTTTTAACAGGCACTCAGGACTTTTTCCCCTGCCCTCCCCACGTCCCCAGGCAGATACTTGCTCTCCTTGAGTGTTGTCCCGAAGTACAATTCTCAGGAGCGAACATGCTGCTTTGGCTTTGACTCCTCCTTCCCAGGGCTGCGTTTGGGAGTGCCTTTTTCACGTGGGCTGAGGCTTAGGTTAATGTTCAGCCAGCC